TCTATTTTCAATACTTAAAGTTATGTAAAGACCACTGTCCTGAATTAATACAGTGTATGAAGACTTAAAATAGAATAAAAAGAAAAGATTATTATAACAAATATTCAACAATTATGTGAAATGGTGATACTAGCATATATCACATGAAGATTTATGATCTTGGCTAGCCATAACCCTTATCTTTCTATTGTAGCAGTTCCATCTTCCTCTTATTTTAATTTTGAAGTGTTTGAAATTCCAATTAAAATTGCCTGGGGTCTCAACTTCTTGGTATATTTGGCTTTTAGAAGATCAAACAAGCAACATTTCTGGCTCCAAAAGGCTCTATAGAGGAGACATAGTATACCAAGGAGGTACATAGCTGCTGTCTTCCTGCATTCTGAAACTATATCTCAAAAGAACGCAAAGCATCTTAATTGCAGCCATCTTTTAATTTTCATCTTGTATATTTGGTATGTGAGGAACGCTTTTCTTTTCATTCTGTGCCGAACATATTCCGAACCCTAATCTGGTGAAGCTCTTATAGGTGTTGAAGTTCTTTTGCTTTGTTTGGCAAAATGACATGGAATTATAATTACAATTAAACAGGTGCGTAGGCTCACCTTGTCAGAAATGTGTAACTAACTCAGTGGGTGGATCCAACCGAAGATTCTAGACAGAGATAGTGAAAAACATATTTGCCATCAAGAGAATTTAAAGTGAAGGTCATTTAAGATACAATTGCAATGTACAATATGATGGTTTCTGTAATGAGAAACATGCTACAAATGCTGCTTTCTATGTGCTTATTACATAATGCTGAATTTAGTTCAAGATCTGCTAAAGATTTAATATGTATAAAACATATTAAAAATTGATATGTCAACAATAACAATTTCCTCTGGACAGTTAATAAAGAAAGAAAACATAGAACATGTTATATAAACAAGTTGAAAATCTTAAGTGATATTTGAACAGCTGCCTAAATAATTTTATCTGATACCGCAAAAAGAATAAGTACCAGCTAAGGTTTTCAGAGCATCACTACTATAAGAAGTTGTGGTTAAAGTTCCTTTGAAAGATGCTACTCTAAAAAAGGCTTCGGAAAATGTTAAGGTACATCAAGCAAGTGGAGATACAACCAATTTTTTAGTTACAGCTTTAAAGATAAAAATGAATGGGCTGAATAGGTACTGTATCCAGACCAGATGCTAAAATAGTGTTTATAGAGCCTTGGAATACAGAATCCAATTAATAATTTTACTGACCTATTTTTGAACAGCTAAAATGTCAAGCTATGTAGAGGTGTATAAAATGCAAGGGTGGATATGGTCTTAATTATGGTACACTTAAAATAATTTAAATAAAATAACTAGGCCTCTGGGAGTTTGGCCTATTAATTATCTAGATTAATTGATTTAAACTTTTTAAAGAATTGAAATGTACTTCTAATTTTATTTTAAATGTAAATGTGGCCGATTCTATCCTAGAGGATGTGCTTCCATTTTTATTTCATATAAACATGTGAACATTCTGAATAAAAACACATCATTCAAAACTATTTACATGTAAATGTTACAAATCAAGCCAGTAATTCTATGAGTTATTTCCTGGAAATAAACCTTAGTGAACAAGATAAGTTTTATTTTTAACTAATCATGTCATTAATTGCACTGTAAAATTTGTACCTTTCAATGTTAATTGGCAATCCTAAAATATTAAATTCAGGCACATGCAATCTGTCAATTATTTTTCTAATGCAGAAATATTTTAAAGTTAACACGTTTAGTAAAAAGTACAAGTAATTTGCTTGTTTCTGTATTGGGTGTGCGAGCCTATGAAAGTGCTGTTATATGACTGAATCTTCATGCAACTGGCAATAATCTTCTGAGGTCTTCTGATGACCAGTATTGGGCTTTATGATATTTTTCTGGCCATATTCTCACCAAGGTGAAACTGATTGCTGTGCTATTTTCTGTGCTGTTCCATTCTAAAGAGATTATTTTGGAGACAGGAATGATGGACTCCCTTTAGACTGTGTTTGTTAAAAAGCTACACCGTGTACGGGCTCTGG